GGCGGAAGATGACCTTCACTGCTGTCATCTTGCATCGCCGCGGGGAACGCAGCCCTTCAGCCGTGGGGCGAGCTGGGGATGCTTTCCCACGGGACACGGCAGAAGATGTCACTGCCACAGGAGTTAAAACCGTTTGAGGCTGGAGAAGGGGCTGAGCGTAGGCGATGGGGGGTGGACCTTCTCCCCCAGTTGGCAGGGGGGAGCGGGAGCTGTGGGCACTGGGTTTTGTTGCCTTTCTCTTGGCACAGCTCGGCGCAGGAGGGCCTGCGAGGGAGCTTCCAGCAGGAGACGGGCAGGCTGGAGCAGGAGGTGGCAGCGCTGCGGAGGGAGCTGGCCGGCCTCAGGTCGGACCAGGAGGTGATGGGCAAGCATGTGGAGGGGATGGTGGAGCAGCTGAAGGCGGTGTGGGCTGATGTGAGTCCCTGGTCCCCAACCCCTTTGGCAGAGGGAGGCGTGAGGGTCCCTTCTCCGGGGCTGAGCCCCGTCCCCACCGTTTCAGGTGGAAGCGCAGTTCCCGGCGTGGGTCAGCCGGTTCCTGTCGCAGCCCCAGCGGGACGGCACCGCCAGCCTCGTCCTCCAGAGGGAAGATCTCCAAGCAGAGCTCCAGGCCCTGGAGCGCAAGATCCTGGACAAAGTCCTGGAGGACCGGAGGCTGTCGGCACAGGATGCTCAGGCCGGCATCGGAGTGGCCCTGCAGCAAGGGGGGACTGCAGGGGTGACGGAGGAGGTGAGGTCTGGCCTGACCCCCCCTGGCCTGGCCCCCGGGGATGGGGTGGTGGCCGCAGGCATGGCGGGGGGGGGAAGCTGGCACGAGTGCCTGGCAGATGGCTGGGCCATCGGGACAGCCCTTACAGCTGTGACATCAGTCCTATGCTCACACTCCACTTGGCAAGAGCATCTCTGAAACTCCTCCATCCCTTCTCTGCCATCAGCCTCCCCTGGGCTGCGCCTGCACCCGCACCCTGCCCTGGAAGGGGTTGTCGGTGGTGATACCCGCACGCCTCCGAGGCTCTCGCTGTCTTAAAATCCAAGTTTCTGCTTATGCATCTTTTCACCCAGAAGCGGGGCAGGTGCCAGCAGGGTGTCCAAGGGTTGAGCATCTTGCTCGCCTCCCTCCCTCAGCAGCACTGCAGAGGCATTTGGGGCAAAGCACCGCGGCAGAATGACACCACGGGGCAAAAAAATGAGCCTGCTTGCTTTGGAAAGAGTTTTTGGCACTTCCCTGTGGAGGGAGGAATCGAGCAGGATTAGCAGTTCCTGCAGCCCCCTCGGGCTTCGTTCTCGCCGTAACATTTAGACCAGAGTGGTGCTGCAGGGTCCCGGCTCCTGGGGTTGGCTCTGGAGGGATGCTCTGGCTGGCTCCTGCTGCGACGTCGGGTTTTCCAGATGGCGATCCCGTGGGATGGGGTAGGGGGGACAAGCAGACGATGCTGGGGAGGACGGGGTGGGTTGTGGGGTTGTGTTTGGTACCCACCGGCGGATCTGGGGCCAGTCTGGCCTGTGGGGTGGGGGTGGGCGAGCCCGGCCCTTCACCCCTCTCGTGCCCTCTGCTCCCACCGCAGCAAGTGCACCTCATCGTGGGTCAAGCCCTGAAGCGCTACAGCGAGGACCGCGTGGGGATGGTTGACTATGCCCTGGAGTCGGCAGGTAGGTGGTGGTGGTGGGGCATCTCGCCCTCCCTGGGACAAGCCAGCCATCCTGGGGAGGGGTGTCACGGGGCTTACCTGCTGCTGTCCCCTCTCCTGTCCCCTCTCTGCCCCAGGGGCCAGCGTCATCAACACCCGCTGCTCGGAGACCTACAAGACGCGGACGGCAGTGCTGAGCTTGTTTGGCATCCCCCTGTGGTACCAGTCGCAGTCCCCCCGTGTCATCCTGCAGGTGGGCACCCCCGGGGCAGGACCCCGCTGAGGGGGAGGACGGGGGTGGTCCTCATGTGGGTTTTATTGGGCTCTTGCTGTCACTCCAAGCAAGCAGCCAGGCTGATACCCGGGGGACAAAGCAGCACTGATGGCAATAACCTTGCTGGTGTCTTGCTCCTGTGCTCGTAGCCAGACGTCAACCCCGGGAACTGCTGGGCTTTTCGTGGGTCCCAGGGCTTTGCCGTCATCCACCTCTCCAGCATCATCCGCCCCACGGCCGTGACGCTGGAGCACATCCCAAAAGCCCTCTCGCCCCAGGGGACCATCCCCAGTGCCCCAAAGGATTTCACTGTCTACGTGAGTGCCCTTGGCCAGACCCAAGGGAGGAGTGGGGGGACGTGGTGGGAGGATGCCATGGTGGAGGGGGCAGGAGGGGAGAGCTAGCGAGCCCCATACCTGGCTGTGGGGTGCTCTGGGTGATGGGTGTCACCCTGAAGAGGAGGAGGATGCAGTACTGAAGGGGAGAGGGGAGGCAGTGGGCTTGGGGAAGGGTTTTGGGGGACACTGGGAGAGAGGGAGTTGAGTAGGTGTAACTCTTGATCTTCCTCCCCCCCTCCTTCCCCACTGGCCCCTGACCCCACTTTTCTGTTTTGGCCTGGAAGAGCAGGAGCAGGGGCCAAGCGCACTTGCGTCTCCGTCTCCCTCTCCCTCTGCCACCCTGGGTGTGCTCATTGTCTCCGGTTGTCCCTCTCTGACCACCCCTGGTTCTCCCTTTCTGCCTCCCTGCCTCCCCATAGGGCCTCCAGGAGGAGGGAGAGGAGGAAGGCCTTCTCCTGGGGCAGTTCACCTACAACCACGATGGTGACCCCATCCAAACATTTTACTTGGAGGTGAGTGCTTTGCCCTTGGAGCACCTGGCCCCAAGAAGAAAACGGGGCACGTGGGGTCTCTGAGCCCGCAAGAGCTCGCTAGGGCTCAGGTTTTTCCTTCTCCTTTTCCCCAAGGGTGATGCCGTGGGCACGTACCAGCTGGTGGAGCTCCGGGTGCTGAGCAACTGGGGCCACCCCGAGTAC